CAGGTCTTGGAGCTTAGTGTGAATCTGTTCTTCATTACTGTAAGTAATAAAAATCTTTCTGCCTCCACTCATTTTCATGCAAACAACTTCGGGGAAAACATCCCCTACCATTTTTAAAATTTATTGGATGGCACCGGATGCCTACAGCATGAGTTATTCTTCCTTCCTCTCTCTCCAGAGTGTTTGTTGACGGGAATTAATATTCTTGCCTTTTCAAGTTTGGGAAGCTGGATCGGCCACTGCAAAAGAGCTTGTTTTAAAAAGCCAATTGGTCAGCAGCAAAGGATCAGCTAGAAGGACGTGAGAGGCCAAACTGTGGCTTGAGCCAAGAAGGACCGAAAAGCCACAAGATTGGAAAGAAACAGAGGACATCCCGGTTGATCGCAGGCAAATGGTGGACAACAGAGATTCATCCTGAGTGGCCCAAACCTTTGAGGCCTCATAGAGCATCCTTCGACACTGCTGGACCCTTCGGAATCCGAACTTTTCCTTTTGGGCTTTTTGGAGAAGGTGCTTTGTCCATGCTCCCTTCCTGCCACCTCACAGCTATTGGGCCGCTCAGGACAAGCGGTCTCCATTGTCCTGGCAGTCCTCTGCCTTTTTTCTTGTTTGGCATACAGTGGCGCTGTGGGTTAAACCACAGAGCCTAGGGCTTGCCGATCAGAAGGTTGGCAGTTCGAATCCCCACGACGGGGGTGAGCTCCCGTTGCTCGGTCCCTGCTCCTGCCAAACTAGCAGTTCGAAAGCACGTCAAAGTGCAAGTAGATAAATAGGCACCGCTCCGGTGGGAAGGTAAACGGCATTTCCGTGCGTTGCTCTGGTTTTCCAGAAGCGGCTTAGTCATGCTGGCCACATGACCCGGAAGCTGTACGCCGGTCCCTCGGCCAATAAAGCGAGATGAGCGCCGCAACCCCAAAGTCGGCCACGACTGGACCTAACGGTCAGGGGTCCCTTTACCCTTTACTGTACTTTAAGGTTGGTAGTGCAATAGCTTTGTAAAGAAGCATTCTGGGTTCCCTTCGAATGTCCCAGTCCTCAAACACCCTGCACTTCAGTCGGGAGAAAGCCGCACTCGCAGAGCTCAGGCAATGCTGGATTTCGGCATCAGTGTTGGCCCTTGTGGAAAGATAGGAGAAGTGATTGACACTTTCCAACGTTACACCACTGAGTTGGATTTGTGGTGCTGCAGAGGGGTTATTTTGGGCTCGTTGGTGCAGCATTTTGATTTTTTGGATGTTAAGCTTTTGCAAGATGTACACATGTACACACACACACACACACACCATGTTTGTGAAAAACAACATGCAAAAATACATTATATTAGGGGGAACTGCTTGCAAAAATGTGCACTTTAGTCAAAAACAGTATACAAAAATGTGTTTATGGGGGAAAGTCACCCTAAAATGCTGAATAACTGAAGATGACTTTAATTCATTTTTTTTAAATCACCAATTGCTGTGAAAATGCAAAGAACTGAATTTTAGATAGAAGCAATGAGAATTTGAGGGAGTTTAAACAGACAAACCTTTCCTCCCCCTCTCAAGGGCTATGCCTAAGTCAGTGGGCATTTGAAAACTCACCAATTCTTGTGGTTTGAAGGCCAAGCCCTCCTGCCTTCTCAGCTGCAACAAATGAAACCCCTTCAAGCTGACATCGTCAGAGCTCCTCCGAGATTCTCCGGGGAAAGGAACACCTAATTTTCATGAAGACACCACAATAACAATGAGATGGGTAATTCACAAGGAACCCTGGCTTGGGTTAAGGGACTGGTCTGTAACAGGATATGCTTGCTCGGGTAGTCCTAAGTGGGCAGCAAGGACATTGATCTCACCATACCTGGATGTTGAGGTGATGCTCCGCTTTGCGAAGGCAAACCTCGCACCAGACGTGCAACCATAGCTGTCAACCATCCCTTATTTGGCGGGAAAGTCCCTTATCCCAGCGCCATGTCCCGCTGCTGTCCCTTATTGATGATGTCCCTTAAATTTCCTGGCTTTCAAAGGAAGCAGCTCCTCTCCCTCCCTCCCTGCCGGCCAGGGAGGAGGGAGGCTCCAACTGGGTTGCTTGGCTGCGTTGCTCACCCAATAAGGAGTCTAAGAACGACTGGGGGGTGGAGCTTGCATGCCTTGGGCCGATCAAATCGGCCGCGTTGCCTGGGGACTCGCCTTTGCTCAGCGCTTCCCAGCGGAGAGGTGACGGTGGTTTTCCTTGCTGCATCCCCTATGCCGGGTTGCTGCGCTGTGGGAACCACCGCTTGAGGCTTCGTTTGGCTGCTGGCTGGGCTTTCTGCCTTTGGCTCGGAGGGGCTCAGAAGTTGAACATACCTGTGCCCGGAAAATCCCTTATTTTGGCTGCTGATCCCTTATTTTTGAGGCTGCTGGTCCCTTATTTTCAAATCTGTAAATTGACAGCTATGCATGCGACAGTATGTCAAGGAGCATTACACCTGCTTTCCCTGACCTTTTGCCGCCTTGGCTAGAAAACAGGTTTTCCCCCCTGACCTTTTGTCCTCTCACAATTTGTTTGTTAGACATATTGCTTGGCTGGAGCATGACGGGGGACGCAGACGTCATCAAGTATCGGGGGGAACATCTGAGGGAAACACCTGCTGACACGTGTATTTGCTAACACTGGAAATGTGCTTAGATGGAAACACGTTAAGTTCAGGGTGGTTTCGCTACTGTTTCCAATTATTGATTTCTGCTAATAAAAGGAGCCTCTGCAGAGCTAGCCGGCAGCTTGCTTGGTGCATGCTTGCCAGCTTGCTTCTGCACAGCTCACCTGCATTACCAACACCTGTCTCATGTCCTTCACTTCACCTGGATACAAACACTGGTCCCCACCCTGTTTTTGCTTCTCTAAGTGTTTTTTTTTAATCTTTCCTGAAACTTCCAACATTCAGCTTCGTTGGATTTCCACGAGTTCATGGAAAGTGTTCGCATTTAATCACCAGAACAACTCTTTGAGATCGGTGAGACTGAGAAGCAGCAACTGGTCCCCACCCGCTGAGCTTCATGGCTGGGTGGGGATTTGAACCCGGGTCTCCCAGGTCCTAGTCCAGCTCTCTAACCACGTTGCCACACTGGCTCTTTCAAGTAGCCTGGTATCAACTAGACCTGGTATAAGGGAGCTTCCCATGGAGCCAGTATGGTGTAGTGGTTAAGAGCGGTAGTCTTGTAATCTGGGGAACCGGGTTCGAGTCTCCGCTCCTCCACATGCAGCTGCTGGGTGACCTTGGGCCAGTCACACTTCTCTGAAGTCTCTCAGCCTCACTCACCTCACAGAGTGTTTGTTGTGGGGGAGGAAGGGAAAGGAGAATGTTAGCCGCTTTGAGACTCCTTAAGGGGAGTGAAAGGCGGGATATCAAAATCCAAACTCTTCTCTCTCTCTTCCTATATTAACAACAGATAAAGTGAGGGATGGGATACTTACTAGCTGTTGCCAGGAAGATCGGGGTCTGCTGGGGCAAGGAAGAGATGCATGTCCTTCTGCTTACATTTGTGTAGGTGGAAGGCTAACCATTCTCTCTTCCAGCCCTGCTTTGGGTCTTGCAACTTGGAGAGACAACGGAGATCAGCTGCCAAAACACCAGGAGCATTTTCATCCGAAATTTGCAACTTGTACCATTACTGGTGTGTCCAGTCCAGAATGTTCACTCAACATCCACTCACCAGGACAGCGACAGCTGCCACCTCACGGGTACTGCCTGTATCGGTCATCCACAGGACCTTCTCCATAACGCAATGGAAGTTGTGTCTCATGCCCCAATGCAACAGGGTAGCCCAGGGTCTCTGAGGGCACCGATCATGCAAGAGATCCCTCCAACAGAGGAACCCATGAATCGCCAACACAGACTGGACGTGCTATCCCAGAACCATGGACAAAGTCAAGGGGGAGTAGAATAAAATCGTTGTGTTGGAAGGGACTCAAGGACCATCAAGTGCAACCCCCCGCAAAACTGGAATTTCAGCTGAAGCATCCCTGACAGATGGTCACCCAACCGCTGCTTATGTGCTGGGCCCAGGGGTAACCCGAGTAACGCGGTCCAGGTCCGGTCCCGAATCCAAGGGTTCCGTGAGGAGTCAGTCCAACAGGGCCAAGGCAGGAAACCAGGCAAGGACAGGTACAGGGTCTCAGGCAGGTTCTAGCAAACAGCAATGTTGCTCCCGCAACCTGGGGCGGGGTCCGACAGCCTTTTATCTCTGTCGGAGTAATGGCCAGTCCTGATCCCCCGATGACTCACCTCCCTGTTTCGCCCGAAGGCGAGCACTCCTCCTGTGAGTACTCAGGTCTCCCTTCTCTCAGACCTCAGTCTCTGCAGCTCGGGAGACGTCGGTGGGTTACTAGACCCAGGGGCCGTCTCAGCCTCCCTGACCCAGCCGGTAGCGGAGCAGCTGTAAGTGATGGCCCAGCTGGAGGCAACGAGGTCATCCCCGCATCTGGAGCCAGGGCAGGCTCAGGCCCCTGATTCGGCCCAGCTGGTATTTGCTGCAGGGGCACCTGTGCAGACTAGGACTCTTCAGGATCAGGCCCCAGATTTGGTTCAGATGATGCCTGAGGCAAAGGATCCAATGCAGACTGAGACCCCTCTGGCTCCGAGTTCAAGTCCCAGGCCATCACAGCTCAGAAAACTCTAAGGGATGAGACTCCATTACCTCCCGAAGGAGCCCATTCCACTGTTGAACAGTTCATACAGCCTGGAAGTTCTTCCCTGTGTTTCATTACAATCTCATTTCTCATGATTCGAATCTGTTGACTCTGGTCCTACCCTGTGAAGCAGCAAGAACCAAGCTTGCTCCTCCATCGATGGGGCAGCCCTTCAGGTATTCGAAGAGGGATATCACCTCACCTCTCTGTCCTCTCTTCTCCAGGCTAAACATACTCTGCACCTGCAACCATTCCTCATCAGCCTTGTGTCCAGACCCTCCATCATCTTGGTCTCCCTCCTCTGCACACCTTCCAGCTTGACCATCTCCTCCTTCGACTGGCAAGGCTCCTCTTCACGGAGCGGGGGGTGGGCAGTACTTTCCCCCTAGGCTGACCCCGTTCCTGCAGTTCCACTGGTACAGCTCCAGCAGCCTGTTCAGGAAAACCAGCACAGGCCGTTCGGGGTGGTAGCGGCAGAGCCGGCAGGTGGGGCAGCGGCTCTGACTCTGGCTCCTTCGGCGTAGCTTCACCTGCACCTGGTTCAGGCGGGTGGCGAGCCGGGAGAGGAGGCGCTGGGTCTGCCCTTCCTGCGCCCGCTGAACCACCTGAAGCTCCTGGTAAAAGCAGCTCAGGTTGTCAGCATAGCAGACCTACTGGGACAAAAGAAAGAAGCAGAAAATGCCAGGCAGCATGGTTTTTTAAAATTGGCTTTGCTTGCATGAGATTACAGGCACCAGATAATTCCTGTTCCGCGTTTGCAAGAACTTACTCTTTTAGTGTTGTGGCACCTACACTTCGGAAGTCCCTGCCTTTTGACACCAGGCGGACCCCTTTGCTGTATTCTTTTCGGCGTTTGCTAAAAGGTTTCATGGAATTGTAAAGTTGGAAGAGACCACGAGGGGCATCCAGTCCAACCCCCTGCAATGCAGGAATCTTTTGCCCCATGTGGGGCTCAAACCCATGGCGCTGAGATTAATGCTCTTCCAATGGAGCTGTATTTCTCTTTAGACAAGCCTACCCAGATACGTAGAATGCTGTCGTGTGGTTTGGGGGCTGATGGCTGGTGTTATGTACTGAGTTGAATAGGACCCAGAATGCAGCAGTCTGATTGGTCCACAGGAGCCACCCAATCCAGCTCCAGGTGGAAGGGAATCCGCAACCTGATTGGCCTACATGAGAATCCTGGAATTAGCCAATCACGGGGGGCCCATTGTGTTAATAATGTATATAAAGCAGACCTTCTGGGGGAACTTCCATTCCTCCTCATCATTATGAGTTGAATAAAGAGCATGAAATCCACTCTCGACTCCGATTATATTTCAGCTGGTTTTCACGTTTTGAATGTTTTAAATACAATGGTACCTTGGTTCTCGAACTCAATCCGTTCTGGAAGCCTGTTTGACTTCCAAAATGTTCAGAGACCAAGGCATGGCTCCTGATTGGCTGACTGGCCCCGGGGGAAATGCTGATGGCCAAAACGGAGCATGTTCGGCTTCAAAAAAAAACAACATTCACAAACCGGAACACTTACTTCCGGGTTTGCAGTGTTTGGGAGTCAATTTGTTTGCCAACTAAGCTGTTCAGGAACCAAGGTACCACTGTAGTTATTTTAATTGCTTTAACTAATACTTCCGGGGATGCGGGTGGCGCTGTGGGTAAAACCACAGAGCCTAGGACTTGCCGATCAGAAGGTCGGCGGTTCGAATCCCTGCGACGGGGTGAGCTCCCGTTGCTCGGTCCCTGCTCCTGCCAACATAGCAGTTCAAAAGCAAATCAAAGTGCAAGTAGATAAATAGGTACCACTCCAGCAGGAAGGTCAACGGCGTTTCCGTGCGCTGCTCTGGTTCGCCAGAAGCGGCTTAGTCCTTAGTCTGCTGGCCACATGACCCGGAAGCTGTACGCCGGCTCCCTCAGCCAGCAAAGCGAGATGAGCGCCGCAACCCCAGAGTCGGCCACGACTGGACCTAATGGTCAGGGGTCCCTTTACCTTTTACACTTTAAGTATGCATGAAAGGAATCCAGATCTCACAGCATGGTCATTTCAAGAGGCCCTTGTCCCCCACACCAGCCTTCAGCCAGTGTGCCCAAGATGGATCCCAATTTTTCTTCTTCCTTCTTACTTCTTCCTTTACCTTTACTGATACTTCCACTCAACTGCTTTGAGAGTTGCTGGTTCTCTTCTCTCTCTGTCTCTCTCTCAACAAGGTATATCATGGAATTATAGAGTTGGAAAGTACCCCAACCCCTTACAATGCAGAAATCATGTCAATTTAATGCAATAAGCTAAGATGAAATTATCCCATTTTTATTTCTTTCAACCCAACATAGAGATGGCTGGGCCCACCAGCTTTGCCTAGTTTGCCATCAGCATATCGGTGGCCACTCTTAGGAGGACACAGGGCCCAGAGACAGGTGGGCCATTGGTGTTACCCAACATGGGCACCGTCCTTAAAAGAGGAGTTTGGGGCACGATCGCTTTCACGCTAACTTTGGACGGCTGGGTCTTTTTCTAATGCCTGCTGGGTGGTTTTGTTTTACCTGCTGAGTTTAAATTCCGCCCTTCTCAAAACACAGCTGCCTTTTTAATTGCTTTTAATTGTTTATAAGCCATTGGTTTGGGGGAAATGCTTAAACGAAGAAGAGCATGAATAGCTGGAGGGGCACATTTTAGCCAAGCACAGATAAGCACCACAGGCTGTTTGCGAGCAAGAAGATTTTGCCGGCTCCCACCCCACCCTGCTCTCGCCATACACACTGTCAGCAGGAGATACGCACGGTGATATTGTCTGGGGTGAAGAGGGTCCCGTTGCTGGAGTTGCCCTGGAGGAAGACATCAACAGGCAGTTAGAGGAAATGAGGCTCCAACCTTCCTGGGAGGTTTTTGGACATAATAATCATATTATTATAATTTATTATTTACACGCAGCCACTCTGGGTGGCTTCCAGCAAAATACTGAAATACAATATTGCTCAAAAAATGACACGCTAATATGCCTACATTAAAATGTGAAGTACTGGATGGAAGAAAATTAGTAATGAAAGATAAGAAGAATATATAGATGATTTGAGAAGGTTGTAGAATGCAAAGTTTATTGTGAATTGTATAATGTGGAGGAAGTGGGGGTGGAGGGAATTGGGCGAAGGAGAAAAGAATAATATGATGGATTGAGGAAATAGAAATGTAAATGTATGGGGGGATGGGGAGGAAATGGTGTTGGCTTTGGTACATCTGTATTGTAATGTAATATGTGAAAACCAATTTTAAAAAAAAGAAATACAATAATTCATCAAATATTATAAGCTTCCTAAACAGGCCTGCCTTCAGATGTCTTCTAAAAGTCAGATAGTACTGTACTTTATTTCCTTGATATCAGATGGGAGGGCACCACCACTGAGAAGGCCCCCTGCCTGGTTCCCTGTAACTTGGCGTCTCGCAGGAAGGGAACCACCAGAAGGCCCTCGGTGCTGGACCTCAGGCAGAACGATGGGGGTGGAGATGCTCCTTCAGGTATACTGGGCCGAGGCCGTTTAGGGCTTTCAAGGTCAGCACCAACACTTTGAATTGTGCTTGGAAACGTACTGGGAGCCAATGCAAATCTCTCAGGACCGGTGTTATGTGGTCTCAGCGGCCGCTCCCAGTCACCAGTCTAGCTGCCGCATTCTGGATTAGCTGTAGTTTCCGGGTCACCTTCAAAGGTAGCCCCACATGGAGCACATTGCAGTAGTCCAAGCAGGAGATAACTAGAGCATGCACCACTCTGGCCAGACAGTCCGCAGGCAGGTAGGGTCTCATCCTGCGTACCAGATGGCGCTGGACACAGAATTGACCTGTGCCTCCATGGACAGCTGTGAGTCCAAAATGACTCCCAGGCTGCACACCTGGTCCTTCAGGGGCAGTTACCCCATTCAGGACCAGGGAGTCCCCCACACCAGCCCATTCCCTGTCTCCCTCTGGACAGAGATTGGACGGCCATCTGTCACAGACCTTAGGGTAAAGGGCAGGTTGTTGTTGTTAATTTCTATGTACACCTTTCCTTAATATACACATTTTTGTAAATACTGTTTGGCTGGAGGACTGCGAGGGAAAATTCGGGCAGATTTTGAAGGCAGGCTGCGTTTCGTGGCCGTATTAGTTCAAAAAGTGCAGGTTAGGTAGTTTCTCGTTAAAATGAAAAATGAATCTGATTTCCTTCCCCATCCCATGTCAGATGCAATTTGTTGATATAAGGCAGGCTGAGACTCCTAAGCTCCCCTAGGAAATGAGCAAAGAAAGTTGGGAGGCTATCAGCGTCAAACAAAACAATGAATCCAGGGTTGGCTGCGCCACGACTCCCATGTTTGCTTATCACATCATATCTATCAGCGCATGCTAATCATGATCTCAATTCTCTGACTGCCGGTCCTTATATAGCAAAAACAGCTCCACCCGCGCAGAAGAGGGTGGTGTTAGCAAACTCTGGAGGAACTCTGGAGTTTTACAGAAATCCTTAGAAAAACAGACCAGTGAAGATTGAGGAGAGAGATAAGGGCAGCTGTGGTGAGTCATGACTTCCCCACACCAAAGACCCCGGGAACTGTAGTTTGATAAGGAGGCAGCCCCCCACAGCGCTTTAATTCCCAGCACCCTTTAAGAAAAAAAAACAGTTCCCAGGATGATCTGGGAGAAAGCCATGGCAAAGTAGAAAACGAGTAAATGGACAGTGATGGAGAACCTTTTAGAGACCGAATACCCGTACTGCAACCCAAAATACACTTATTGATCGCAAAGCGCCAACACAGCAATTTAATATGGGATAATAATGGCTGTCTGCATGCCCACATACAAATAAATGTAAATAAGTTAATAAACCTAGCAAGATGGGTGGGGTATAAATATTGTTGTTGTTGTTGTTATTAAAAAGGTAAAGGGACCCCTGACCGTTAGGTCCAGTCGTGGCTGACTCTGGGGTTGCGGCGCTCATCTCGCTTTATTGGCCGAGGGAGCCGCCGTACAGCTTCCGGCTCATGTGGCCAGCAGGACTAAGCCGCTTCTGGCAAACCAGAGCAGCGCATGGAAACGCCGTTTACCTTCCCGCTGGAGCGGTACCTATGTATCTACTTGCACTTTGACGTGCTTTCGAACTGCTAGTTTGGCAGGAGCAGGGACCGAGCAATGGGAGCTCACCCCGTTGCGGGGATTCGAACCACCAACCTTCTGATCGGCAATTCCTAGGCTCTGTGGTTTAACCCACAGCGCCACCCGCGTCCCACCACCACCACCATTATTATTATTTATTATATTTTGCTGTTTGATGAAAGTTTGCCTAAGAACTCCATGAATGCTAACCTCGAGTTCCGTGATGAAGGAAAGGCAGGCCATTGGTGTACGCAGGGGCAGCCCTTATCATAATAATAATCAGGATAGAGCAATAGAAATATTAAAACATATTTGGTGGGTATGTAGCTTTTACAGAGTGCCGTGGATAATTTACTGTATTTCCATCCTTGTAACATTAAAAAGTCCTTCTTGGCTATTTTATCCGTCCTACTTAACTGGCTGACTCAAACCAGAAGGGGAACAGCTGTTCGCTTCCTCCTTTCTGCTGCAAAGACCTGAGAAGGGATTTTGTCAAGGCTCTATATATTGTCTCCCTGCTTATTCAACTTATATGCAGAATTCATCATGTGAAAGGTTGGGCTGGATGAATCCCAAGCCAGAATTAAGATCGCCGGAAGAAATATCAACAACCTCAGATATGCAGATGACACAATCTTGACGGCAGAAAGTGAGGAGGAAGTAAAGAACCTTTTAATGAGGGTGAAAGAGGAGAGTGCAAAATATGGTCTGAAGCTCAACATCAAAAAAACGAAGATCATGGCCACTGGTCCCATCACCTCCTGGCAAATAGAAGGGGAAGAAATGGAGGCAGTGACAGATTTTACTTTCTTGGGCTCCATGATCACTGCAGATGGTGACAGCAGCCACAAAATTAAAAGACGCCTGCTTCTTGGGAGAAAAGCGATGACAAACCTAGACAGCATCTTAAAAAGCAGAGACATCACCTTACCAGCAAAGGCCTGTATAGTCAAAGCTATGATTTTCCCAGTAGTGATGTATGGAAGTGAGAGCTGGACCATAAAGAAGGCTGATCGCCGAAGAATTGATGCTTTTGAATTATGGTGCTGGAGGAGACTCTTGAGAGTCCCATGGACTGCAAGAAGATCCAACCTCTCCATTCTGAAGGAAATCAGCCCTGAGTGCTCACTGGAAGGACAGATCCTGAAGCTGAGGCTCCAAGACTTTGGCCACCTCATGAGAAGAGAAGACTCCCTGGAAAAGACCCTGATGTTGGGAAAGATGGAGGGCGCAAGGAGAAGGGGACGACAGAGGACGAGATGGTGGGACAGTGTTCTTGAAGCTACCAGCATGAGTTTGACCAAACTGCGGGAGGCAGTGAAAGACAGGAGTGCCTGGCGTGCTCTGGTCCATGGGGTCACGAAGAGGCGGACACGACAAAACGACTAAATAAAAAATTGCATCTTGGTTTGCTACTGTTCTGAGTTTATATAATCACCATAGATTTTAACTCTGTGTCTGCTCTGTACGATATGATTTGGGTGTTTCAATTAGTTTTTAACAGAGCTGTGACTCTCATGTACACTTTGCTCTAGCGCTTGGTTGCAGGTTAAAACTTGCCTCTCCTCCGATGATCAGTTACACCTGAGGAAATGAGAGGTGGGGGGAAAGGGTAAGATAATAGGAAGGAGAGAGAAGATGAGTGGAGGGGGAAAGCAGATAATAGGAACTATTGTTCAAATGGTGATACAAACATTGACCTCCGCAAACTCGGGTTGCGGTTATTCTTTCTCCAGCTAAACAGTGAAACCCGAACCCAGCGGGTTACCAAACTTTTGGGGGGCCACTCCCTTCCCTTGGTTCCACAAATTCATCCCCAGTGTCCCCTACCCTCTACAAAGCAGGGTAGTGCTTTGAACAACCCACTAAGGAAGACGATAGCCCAATTAAAAATTTAAAAGTAGCAACCGATTACACATTCCCCCCCCCAATCCAGTTCATAGAATCATAGAATTGTAGAGTTGGAAGTATCCTTGAGGATCATCTGGGTCCAATTCCGGCCATGCAGGAATATGCAACTGTACAAAACTATGTAGCTTTTCAGCTCCTTATACCTAAAGGAGCGTCTCCACCCCCATCGTTCTACCTGGACACTGAGGTCCAGCTCTGAGGGCCTTCTGGCAGTTCCCTCACTGTGAGAAGCCAAGTTACAGGGAACCAGGCAGAGGGCCTTCTCGGTGGTGGCGCCCGCCCTGTGGAACGCCCTCCCACCAGATGTCAAGGAAATAAAGAACTATCTGACTTTTAGAAGACATCTGAAGGCACTCCTGCTTAGGGAAGCTTTTAATGTTTGATGCATTACTGTATTTTAATATTTTGTTGGAAGCCGCTCAGAGCGGCTGGGGAAGCCCAGCCAGATGGGCGGGGTATAAATAATAAATTATTGTTATTATTATAGCTTAATCAATTCAACAAAACTCTTGACGTTGATCTAGTGATGCCAGGTTTTCATAGTCAGGTGGTCATTTACACCTCACCATCTCATCTCACCTCTTCGCACCTTAGAATAAACGGCCTCAAAGGCCCAGTATACCTGAAGGAGCGTCTCCACCCCCATTGTTCTGCCCGGACTCTGAGGTCCAGCTCTGAGGGATCCAACTGTGAACTGATGATGTGAGTAAACTTCTTTTATTGACTTTAAATAAGATTGTGGTGTGTTCATTCTTTTAGGAGGGATATACCAGGAATCTGATATCGGGAGGCTTAAACAAGCCTGCAACCAGCTACCCACTGTGTGTTTAAAAGGGGAATGTAAAATAGAACTTGCTAGCGCAAGTTAGGAAAGATATCAATAAACTATATACCCTCTCCTGCCTCCCTGAACATTCCCACATGGGAATCGCATCCCTAAACATCTGGAGGGCACTGGGGCGGGAAACCCCTACACCCGCCCCCTCCATCCAAAACACCTGGCAATTTCAGCAAGCCTAATTTGCACACCAACTCTTCCCATCCGTCTCTTGGTCCCTCTTTACTCACCATGCGCTGGATGATGCTTTGTAGAAGCCCAATGGACTCAGTCTGACACGAGAGCTGCCTGGCGGCAGGGAGACCCAGGAGGAGCATAGCCAGGAGGAAGATGCAGAGGTTGTGCAAGGCTGAAGGATGTGGGGTTGCTCCGATCTCGGGCATCACGCCACCCTGGGAGGACATGGACAGCCGCATTGTTAGATGCTTCTGGAGTATCCTGAAATAAGCAGAAATTGCAAGCAAACACCACCCCTGCCCAACCACAGTCCTTATCACTGCGCTGGTCCCGGGGGCTAACCGAGAGGCGAGGTCCGAGTCCAGTCCGAGGTCGATGGTGCGGTATGGAGGCTGTCCATCAAAGCTGTAGCTGGGTCCAAGGTGGGGAGTTGGGTGAAGTCAGGGACTCTGGCAGAAGAGCAGGACAGGGTGCAGACAGGAACAGGCTAGCCACAACGTTGCTCCCGCAACCTGGGACTGGGCTGGCTGGCTTTTATCTGCCCCAAGGCACAGGGCAGCCCCAGTCCACAGGTGACTCGCCTCTCCTGGCCTGGAGGCGAGCACTCCTCCTGCGGGAACTTAGTTCCCTCCGCCTCTCTGCCCTGAGCCTCTGCAGCTCAGGAGAGGCTGGAGGGTGACCGGACCCAGAGGCAACCTCACCTTCCTCTGACGGGGCTGAGAGTGGAGGACCTGCAGGCAATGGGTCCTCATCACCTCAGGAGCCAGAGCAGACTCAGCTGATGCCTGCACCTGAGGATCCAGCACAGGTGAGGACCCTTCAGGCTCAGGCCCCAGCCCCGGCTCAGCTGGTTCTGGAGGCGGGGACTCCTGTGCAAGCTGGGATTCAGGTTCAGCCTCTGAGTCTGAATCCCAGGCCATCACAATCACCAAACAACTGGTCTGGAGCTCCAGGGCAGGGAATTTAAAGTGTCTATATAAGGGCAAGAGTTTGGATTTGGATTTGATATCCCGCCTTTCACTCCCTTTAAGGAGTCTCAAAGCGGCTAACCATCTCCTTTCCCTTCCTCCCCCACAACAAACACTCTGTGAGGTGAGTGAGGCTGAGAGACTTCAGAGAAGTGTGACTAGCCCAAGGTCACCCAGCAGCTACATGTGGAGGAGCAGGGAAGCGAATCCGGTTCCCCAGATTACGAGTTCACCGCTCTGAACCACTACACCACACTGGTGCAGGAAAAAAAAAGGGGGGAAGACACCTTTTGGTATTGATAAGCTGCCCAGCTGGTTGGGCTGCCACTCCCCGCAGGTCCCTCTGGTCAGCAAAAGAAGGAGTCTCCAGCCAAGTTAAAGAAGCAAACAGTGGCTTATGCAAACCAGCCTGGCTGGCCTAGCAAAGAGCAAATCTGTTAATATGACAAAGGGGCCTTATGGGCCATCAAAAAGGAATCCTTTGGCCTGGGGAGACAGATGTTTTCAAGGTGGTGGGGTATGTGTTTGAGGTGACAGGAAAAGAGTTTTTGAGCTGGGAAGGGTGCTGGGAAGAAGAAGGAAGAAGAAAAATTGGGATCCATCTTGGGCAGGCTGGCTGAAGGCTGGCTGCACTGCTGAGGGGGACAAGCGCCTCTTGCAATGACCACACTGTGAGATCTGGATTCCTTTCATGCATACTTAAAGTGTAAAGGTAAAGGGACCCCTGACCATTAGGGTCTAGTCGTGGCCGACTCTGGGGTTGCAGTGCTCATCTTGCTTTACTGACCGAGGGAGCCGGCGTTTGTCCGCAGACAGCTTCCGGGTCATGTGGCCAGCATGACTAAGCCGCTTCTGGCGAACTAGAGCAGTGCACGGAAACGCCGTTTACCTTCCCGCTGGAGTGGTACCTATTTATCTACTTGCACTCTGACATGCTTTCAAACTGCTAGGTTGGCAGGAGCAGGGACTGAGCAACGGGAGCTCACCCCGTCGCGGGGATTTGAACCGCCGACCTTCTGATCTGCAAGTCCTAGGCTCTGTGGTTTAACCCACAGCGCCACCTGTGTCTCAACTTAAAGTGTAAATAGGTGACTAAACCATATTTCTTAAAGCTATGACAGTCTACGATGGGTCTCAATTCTCCGAAGGAACACAGACCCTGGGTGAACCCCATGGAATCTGCAGAGAGTTACGACTTTGGTAACAGTAAGATCCCCCAAAGGAACAATGAATTGCACATTTATTCAAAACCCAGTTTAAACTATTTGGTTTAGTAAAATCAACAAAGCTGATGAACTTGGCCAGTGAGGAAGATGGCTGAGATTTGACAGTTGAAAGGGAAAGTATTTCTGAAGGAGGTTTGACCTCAGTACGTGTTGTTGAATGTCTCCCTGTTCTCAACTAGGCTGTCAGTAAGATTCCCCTCGAATTATATACTGCTCTTGTTCAGCTTGTTATCAGTAAAGTGCTATCAATTTCTTTTCTCTCTGGACTCTATTTGTTCCAGTCTCTCTGCTAACAGCTGGAGCGCAGAACATCTGGAGCGAGCCAGCTTGGCAGAGGCTGATGTAGAACACAATCCTCATGAGGTTTGCTCTTCAAGCCGCTTCTTCACAACTTTTCTCCGGAATCATTTCCCAGCTTTATGATTCACTTAGACAGCATCTACTCAAACATCTGGCAACAGACTTCAAGCACATCTAAGTGGTTACTTGACAGATCTCCTGATTCATTGCTTCCAATCTCTGCTTCGAACAGAAGCAGATGCTTGGCTGCATGTCTAGAGTGTTTTTCGCACATTGAAAGCACCTTTCGACCCATTGTAGGGTTGGAAAGCTGAAGAATGTCTAACTGAGCCACATGTTGGCATTCTAGCCTAGGGCAGGAGACTGCATGGACTTCAGAGACCCATCAGGGCTTCCCATCTAGCTGCCAATAGATCCCCAATTCCCAACGTACAGCTGCTGCCGCTGTTACACTTTCTGGCTTATTTGCTCAACAGATTGCTTGTGAATTGCCCATCTGACGGGACATTGCAGGAAGGAGATCCTCTCCTCTTGGCTTGGGATCTCTCTGTTTTTGATTTCAAAGGAACAGGTGTGCCTGCGTAGGAGTGGCTCTGGAGAGTGCCAGCCGTGCCGTGCTCTTAGACCTACATTGGCTCCCAGTACAATTCCAAGCACAATTCAAAGTGTTGGTGCTGACCTTGAAAACCCTCAATGGCCTCGGTCCTGTATACCTGAAGGAGCGTCTCCACCCCCATCGTTCTACCTGGACACTGAGGTCCAGCACCGAGAGCCTTCTGGCGGTTTCCTTTGCTGCGAGAAGCCAAGGTACAGGGAACCAGGCAGAGGGCCTTCTCGGTAGTGGCGCCCTCCCTGTGGAACGCCCTCCCATCAGATGTCAAGGAGAACAACTACTACCAGACTTTTAGGAGACATCTAAAGTCAGCCCTGTTTAGGGACGTTTTTAATGTGTGACATTTTAATGTATTTTTGGAAGCCGCCCACAGTGGCTGGGGAAACCCAGCCAGATGGGCAGGGTACAAATAATAAATTATTACTATTATTACTATTATTATTATTATTATTAGACCCAGTGCCCCTGCCGCTCGCACCTTGATGTAAGCGACAGATCACGGGTGATCTGCGGGTCTGTGAGACTGTCCTCCCCCACCCTGGGAAGTCTGCCAGGGCTTGTAACCCCATGGACCAGAGCCAGGGCTAATAACCCCCATAAAGGTAAAGGGACCCCTGACCATTAGGTCCAGTCGTGACCGACTCTGGGGTTGTGGCGCTCATCTCGCTTTACTGGCCGAGGGAGCCGGCATACAGCTTCCAGGTCATGTGGCCAGCATGGCTAAGCCGCTTCTGGCGAACCAGAGCAGCGCACGGAAACGGCATTTACCTTCCCGCCGGAGCGGTACCTATTCATCTACTTGCACTTCATGCTTTTGAACTGCTAGGTTGGCAGGAGCTGGGACCGAGCAACGGGAGCTCACCTCGTCGCGGGGATTCGAACCGCCGACCTTCTGATCGGCAAGACCTAGGCTCTGTGGTTTAACCCACAGCGCTACCCGCGTCCCTGCTCCCAATAACATTAGTATCATCTAAAGAGCAGGTAGGGCCTGAAGCAATGGATTCAAATGACAAAGGAGAGTCCGACAAAACATCAGAAAGAACTTTCTGACAGCAAGAACTGTTCGACAGTGGAGCGGTCTCTTTGGGAAGATGGTGGGCTCTCTTTCCTTGGAGGTTTTTAAGCAGAGGTCGGATGGCCCTCTGTCATGGATGCTTTAACTGAAATTATTATTATTTTGCATGGGGTTGGGCTAGATGACCCTCAGGAACCCTTCCAGCTCTCCGATTCTATGAAGCTAGGAGTCCTGTCGCATTCGTGGGAACCGTTGTGCTGGTTCCCATTAGTGCAACTCATCCAAAACCCACCCAGAGGTTTTCAACCGAAACATATTAATGGCAAGCTTTTAAGCGTTTGCGTTTGCATCTAAAGCCTTCCCTAAACTAAGGAGCTTGCTCACAAGCACGGCACTCCCTTTCCCTGGGGGGTTTTCCTCCGTAAGCCTCCCTTCCTAAGCCAACCCCTCACAACAGTTGAGTGAGTGTGCATCTCGTGGATATCTGACGGTTTGCCAGTGGGCAGCGGCGACCGGCTGATCTTTCTGAACTCACAGAAGATGCTTGCTCAACAGCGTTCTCCAGCCTGAACGATGCCCGTTGGACAAGACACATGCAGCTCGCGTTTTCCGGAGCTAAGGGAAGCATGGGAGAGGCAGGATTTGCAGCTGGCTGCAAGGGGACTCCCGTGGATGGAGCAATGGATCCAAACTACAAGAAAGAAGATTCCACCTAAACATTAGGAAGAACTTCCTGACAGTAAGAGCTGTTCAACAGTGGAATTTGCTGCCAAGGAGTGTGGTGGAGTCTCCTTCTTTGGAGGTCTTTAAGCAGAGGCTTGACAACCATATGTCAGGAATGCTCTGATGGTGTTTCCTGCTTGGCAGGGGGTTGGACTCGATGGCCCTTGTGGTCTCTTCCAACTCTAGGATTCTATGATTCTAAGTGGGTGCTGTTTGCTATGGCCATGGATTTGCACATGTTCTGCTTTCTGTGCTGAAATGAGAAGGCATCTCGTGCTGGAAGCCTACAGCTCTATCCCATCCAATCGACAGCTCAAATCCTGCAGGGTTTTGTGCTTCTGAATTGGCTCAGACTTCCATTGCTGCTGCCTGCAAGGTAAACCTCTTGGTTCTGGTGAGAAGCTTCTGTTCCACTTACCTGTTTCCACCTCGAATGTTCTTAGTTTGCAGGGCACATCCAGAGCTGTAGTTCTTGGGGTTGTGGAGGAGCTGGGTGCGTGAAAGAGCCCTGCAAACAAGAAAAGCCAGGCACTTCTCTCCCCCATCCTGACTCACCAGGCCAAAGATGTTCGTCCACTGCTGTTTTCGTCTGCCCTCTGGCTCCTCGCTGCGTCGTAGACCCTTCTGGCTGGACCGAGGCAGCACCAGCGATTCCGGACACTCGGCAGGATGCAATCTTTGCCACACCTCTCTCGCTTCAGGATGGCTGTTTGGCGTTAAAACAAGGAGACGACTCCAAAGCATTCGCTGGCTGGCCAGCCTAAGGACAGCTGCCAGTACAATCACAACCCTTCCCTTCCAGCCAACAAAGTCGTTTTAAAAAAATAATGTTTTTTTTAAACAACAATCCAAAGAAGTCCCAGAGAGGACCGAGTCACTGCAAAGATGAAAGAGGGAAGATGGTCCAGCACTGCTGCAGGCATTGGGGGGGGGGCCTCTGTGTAAAGATCATAGAATACTAGGATTCAAGAGTTGGAATGGGTCCCCCAAAGGTCATCTAGTCCAACCCGCTGCAATGCAGGAATCTCATGTTGTGTTGTGACGTGTTTGTTCTGTCATGCGCATGGTATAAGGGGCGTGTCTGAACCCACATGCATGTCCAGCACTCATGCTTCTTCCTACACAAGCTACTAAGGGGTTTGGCTAGAGTTATAATGTGCGTTTGTTATGAATATGTGTTTGCAAGCCCACAAGATGTTCTCGCACAAGAGGAATAAAGCAAAGTTGGCCTGTTACATGGAATGAAAGGGACGGGTGATCTGGATGCTGTTCAGACAGCAAGGTTACAATATAAGCAAGCAGCAAATCTTACAGCGCAAGCACGCCTTGATCTCAAGAGTAACATCATCATCATCATCACTTATTATTTATACCCCACCCATCTGACTGGGTTTCCCCATCCACTCTGGGCGGCTCCCAAACAGAATATTAAAAACACAGTAAAATTTCAAACATTAAAAACTTCCCTAAACAGGGCTGCCTTCAGATGTCTTCTAAAAGTCAGGTAGTTGCTTATTTCCTTGGCATCTGATGGGAGGGTGTTCCACAGGGTGGGTGCCACTACCAAGAAGGCCCTCTGGCTGGTTCCCTGTAACTTGGCTTCTCGCAGGGAGGGAACCGCCAGAAGGCCCTCAGAGCTGGACCTCAGTGTCCGGGTAGAACGATGGGGTTGGAGACGCTCCTTCAGGTCTACTGGGCCTTCTAGGCCATGTAGGGCTTTCAAGGTCAGCACCAACACTTTGAATTGTGCTCGGAAATGTCCTGGGAGCCAGTGTAGGTCTTTCAGGACCGGTGTTATGGGGTCTCGGTGGCGACTCTGGACACAGAATTGACCTGCGCCTCCATGGACAGCTGTGAGTCCAGAATGACTCCCAGGCTGCGCACCTGGTCCTTCAGGGGCACAGTTGCCCCATTCAGGACCAGGGAGTCCCCAACACCTGCCCACCTCCTGTACCCCCAAAACAAGACTTCTGTCTTGTCAGGATTCAACCTCAATCCATCCTCCATCCATCCTCCAACCACCTCCAGACACTCACACAGGATCTTCACCGCCTTCACTGGTTCCGATTTGAAAGAGAGGTAGAGCTGGGTATCATCCGCTTACTGATGAACACCCAGCCCAAACCCAAAGATAGCAAGGCCATTAAAGGCTTCAGATTGTGTAATAGATGGTGGATGTTTATCTTCCCAGGCTCCAAGTATGAGTCTGTTTGCACTTGCAGAGGCTCATAAAGCCCTGTTTTGTTGTTCAGTGTTATTGTTTGGATGCATTTACATAAAAAGTCAGTGCCGATAAAACAGGGCTCCACAACCCCACTTGTGTGATTTCTGAGCCTGACCTCGGGCAAAGACATTAATTGCGAGAAGCTCCCATACTCATTTTGGATAAAACACTCAGCTGACCCAACTGTACAAATAAACCTCTTGCCATTCTCCCCTTGCCTCCTTTCAGGGCAGGCAGAAATCCAACTGGTCCATTTTCAGGCAAACCTCAAAGGGGCTTGCTGCTGATCTGTATAGAACTCTGTGCAACTTAAGGTTATCAGAAAGGGAGCATTCCTCCATCGAAGACAGCTGGGTTTTTAAAAAAAGATATCTGGGAGATGTCTGACCCTTTCACCAATGTCTGAGGCCCATTTGGTGGAAATTCAAGGAAGGGCCTTCTCAGGCTACAGCAGGGCCAGATTTAGGTTTGATGCAGCCCTAAGCAACTGAAAGTAATGGGGCCCTTGATATGTCCAGCTGTCCTTTGTCAACAACAAATTGTCACTGTTTTTTTTGTGTTGAATATATGCTAGATGGTAATTGATGGACCTCATAGGTATCTCAAGCCATTTGCACATGTTGCCGTGCAACCAGTTCATGCAGAATGTAGGCACCATTAGGTCCAGTTGTGGCCAACTCTGGGGTTGCGGCGTTCATCTCGCTTTACTGGCCGAGGGAGCCGGCGTACAGCTTCCGTGTCATGTGGCCAGCATGACTAAGCTGCTTCTGGCGAACCAGAGCAGCGCATGAAAATGCCATTTACCTTCCCGCCGGAGCGGTGCCTATTTAACTACTTGCACTTGGACGTGCTTTTGAACTGCTAGGTTGGCAGGAGCAGGGACCAAGCAACGGGAGCTCACCCCGTCGCAGGGATTCAAACCGTTGACCTTCTGATCAGCAAGTACTAGACTCTGTGGTTTAACCCACAGCACCACCCGTGTCCCAATATATAGAAAGGAGCAAGCCCATTATATTTTAGGGAGCAGGCTAGCGGGCGGGGCCCATGACTTACATCATAGGAGCCGACACAACACAAAACACGGTTGCTGTAGGTAGGCTTTATTTTATTTGTTTTTTATCTTATATTTTGGAAATGTACATCCAGTTTTTTCTCCCTTTAATTTTTTGGGGGGCCCTAAGAGAGTGGGGCCCTAAGCTAGAGCTTGTTTGGCTTATAGGTAAATCCGGCACTGGGCTGCAGTAGTGTCGTGTGTGGGGTGGCAGCACAGGGGCAGTTGCCCCGGGTGCAAAATTGAAAAGGGTGCAAAACTGTGACACCAGGTGCTGCCTCAACACAGCTGTTCACTTCCATTGCTGGGCTCCATTGAAAATGGTTTCTCCATGCAATAATAATAATAAATATTATTATTAATAATAATTTATTATTTATACCCGGCCCATCTGGCTGGGCTTCCCTAGCAATTCTGGGTAGCTTCCAACAAAATATTAAAATACAATAACCTATTAAACATTAAAAGCTTCCCTAAACAGGGCTGCCTTCAGATGTCTTCTAAAAGTCTGGTAGTTGTTTTTCTCTTTGACCTCTGGTGGGAGGGTGTTCCACAGGGCGGGTGCCACCACCGAGAAGGCCCTCTGCCAGGTTCCCTGTAACCTCATTTCTTGAAGCGAGGGAACCACCAGAAGGCCCTCGGCGCTGGACCTCAGTGTCAGAGCTGAACGATGGGGGTGGAGATGCTCCTTCAGGTATACAGGACCGAGGCTGTTTAGGGCTTTCAAGGTCAGCACCAACACTTTGAATTGTGCTCGGAAATGTCCTGGGAGCCAATGTAGGTCTTTCAGGATTGGTGTTATATGGTCTCAGCAGCCGCTCCCAGTCACCAGTCTAGCTGCCGCATTCTGGATTAGTTGCAGGGACCTCTCCAGACAATGGAACAACTCTTATGTTCTCATCTCCGCCACTGAGATTTCCTGGTTGACACAGATGCCATTAAGCAGTTGAATATGCATGCATACTGTTATGTACTGAAGTTCTCACCCTGGGCCAGCAGGGGGATACTGTAGATAGTTATGCAAATGGATCGAAAAGTGACGTTCAGTGATTGGATAGTTTTAGAAAATGGCAACAGTTGCATTGTTCTGGAGCTCTATATAAGCAGGCTGACTGAGCTCCTCAGCCTAGTTCTGTTCTGGCATCTGAATAAAGAAGAGCTGTTTGAAGAATCGCTGTGTCGTCTGACATGTTCACCCACAACTTAACACTGGCGACGAAGGTGGGATCGATGGACATCAGAGCACAGCCAGATGCAGCCACCCTCTGAGCAGAGCTGAATCACTGAGCTGAATCACTGAGCGAAATCACTGAACAGAACCAATTCAGAGCTGACTGTTCTGGCTAGAGCATGGTTTTCCATCCATCGCACTTCACATTGGCATCGGAATCATGGCTTCACTTGTGCCTCTACCGCCGTTTGCGCCAGCCTCTGAATCATGGGACTCCTACCTCGCTTGGTTCGACTGCTACCTCCAAGCCAACGAGCTGACAGAAGTATCAAAGGAGCAGAAGCGGGCCCTATTCCTCAGCCTCTGTGGGCCTGAGGTGTTTGAGACGGCACGAGCATTGGTTGCGCCTGAAGCTGTCCAGGCAACACCGTGGGACACGATCCAAGAGAAGCTCCGCAACCACTACGCACCAAAGCCGTCCAAGATTGCTGCCCGCCATGCGTTTTACCACTGGAACCAGGCAGAGGGGGAGTCAATCAACAACTACACCACCGCCCTGCGACAGGCTGCAATGCACTGCGAGTTCCGAGACTTAGACGATGCCCTGATGGATCGAATCGTCTGCGGGGTCCGGGACATCCATCTGCAACGGCGTCTCCTCGCCAAGCCAGACCTCACGCTGCAGAAAGCCATTGAGGAGGCTGTGGCCTCAGAAGCTGCTGAACCCAGGAGATTCGCAAGGCCAGCAGCCTGCGTCTTGCTAGGAAGCCAGTTCCAGTGCATCACGAAGAGGCCAGCAGTGATGAGGCATCCTCCAGTGAAGACGATGACATGCACCTGACAAAACGGGAGCGCAGGAAGTTCCAACAGAAGTCCAAGGGCCAAGCGGAATGTGCCGGGTGCGGAGGCAACCATTCCCGTGCCAAGTGTCGATTCAGAGACGCCATCTGTCGGACGTGTTCCAGAAGGGGCCACATCGCTAAGGTCTGCCAATCGGCTCTGTCTGACACCCCCCCTTCACCGACTCGCAAGCCCAAGTCTTCACTCCAGTCTGGCAAGGAAAGCTGTTTCGCTCTCACCAACTGCCACTGCCCATCTGGAACCACGATTGGCCAAACCGACTCGCCTATGCGACGCAAGCTGAATGTCACGGTGCTCACTGAAGGAGCTCCATGTGACATGGAGATCGACACCGGGTCTGCCCTGTCCATCGTGTCTTGGAGCACCATCAAAAGACTGGTACCCAGAGTGTCCAAAAGGCAACTCGACTCTCACCGCGTACACCTGAGAGACTACCAGGGAAACGACATTCCCGTGGTAGGCGTTGGCCGGTTCCGGATCGCCTTCCAGGCTTGGTCGGGCGTGCTCTGTCGGGTGGGGGTCGAAGGTCAGCGGCCAAGCCTCCTAGGGCTAGACTGGTTTGATGCCCTCGGCCTGGAAGTCACCGGCATCAACTGCATCTCTAACGCAGAGACTGAGGGTCTGGTCAAAGACTTTGCCGAGGTTTTTGACGGCACTTTGGGGCAATATACAGGTACGCCCATCTCCTTTAGCCTTGATCCACAAGTCGCCCCCATCAAGCTAAAGCCACGCCGGGTTCCCTTTGCTCTCAAGGCTAAGGTGGACGAACAACTGGACAAGCTGATCGCCCAAGGAGTTTTGGAGCCGGTTGACCACGCCAAGTGGGAAACCCCCATCGTCACGCCTGTCAAGCCAGACGGGTCGGTGAGAATCTGCGCTGACTACAAGTGCACGATCAACAAGGCACTTCAGCAGCACGCTTATCCGGTTCCTGTTGTCCAACACCTGCTGCATTCCCTGGGTGAGGGTAAGGTCTTCGCTAAGCTGGACCTTGCCCAAGCCTATCAACAACTGCCCGTCGATGATGCCACTGCTGAAGCCCAGACGATCGTCACCCACCGAGGGGCATTCCGTTGCCGCCGGTTGCAGTTCGGGGTGAGTGTGGCTCCTGGCATCTTCCAAAGCCTTATGGAGCGTCTCCTGCAAGGGCTTCCGGGCGTGGTACCGTATTTTGATGACGTCTTGGTGTCCGCAGACTCACACCAGCAACTGTTCAAGCGCCTCCATGCTGTGCTGACCAGGTTCCAGGAGGCCGGGCTCAAGGTAAAGAAGGAGAAGTGCCAGATCGCCGTTCCACAGGTGGAGTTCCTGGGCTATCTTATCGACGCCTCCGGCCTTCACCTGACCACATCCAAGATCCGCACAATCCAGCAGGCCCCCATCCCAAAGAACAAGACAGAGTTGCAGGCGTTCCTGGGGCTGCTGAACTTTTATAACATGTTCCTGCCCCACAAAGCCACGGTGGCTGAGCCTCTTCACCGACTCCTCAGCACAAAGACGCTTTGGTCCTGGGGTCATCGGGAGACAGCGGCCTTCAACACGGTCAAGGCTCTCCTTTCATCGGACAGTGTGCTGGTACAGTACAGTGAAGCCAGGCCGCTGGTCCTTGCCTGCGACGCCTCACCTTTTGGCATCGGCGCTGTCCTTAGTCACCGTTTTCCAGACGGAAGAGAAGCACCCCTCGCCTACTTTTCCAGGACGCTATCTCTGACTGAACAGAATTACAGCCAGCTCAACAAGGAGGCACTGGCACTTGTGGCTGGAGTGAAGAGGTTCCATGAATACCTCTATGGCAGGACTTTTGACCTCATCACTGACCACAAGCCGCTCCTGGGCCTCCTCGCTGGTGATCGTCCAACTCCACCGGTCCTCTCGCCGCGCATGCTGCGATGGACTGTTTTCCTGGCTGCCTACCACTACCAGCTCGTCCATCGCCCGGGGAAATCAATGGGCCATGCCGATGCCCTCAGCTGTTGCCCTCTTACAGCGTTTGTAGAAGACCTGGCTCCTGCTTCATCGCTCCTCCTGATGGAGGATCTTCCAGCAGCGCCTGTATCGGCTGCCACTGTGGCCTCCGCATCTGCCCAGGACCGCACCATCAGCCGTGTGCTCAACTGGGTGTGGAGGGGGTGGCCACAAGGGCCTTTTGCATCGGAGTTCCAGCGCTTTGCAACCAGACAACATGAACTCTTGGCTCATCGCGGCTGTCTGCTATGGGGAGACCGCGTCGTGATTCCCCAAAGACTCCGTCAATGTGTCCTGGAGGCTCTGCACGTTGGCCATCCGGGAATCATCAAAATGAAGGCGTTGGCTCGGTGTTACGTCTGGTGGCCTAACATGGATGATGCCATCAGTGCCTGGGTGTCCGCCTGTCAAGCGTGCCAAGAATTGAGGCCTGCGCCACTGGCAGCTAAGGGACACACCTGGGAGACGCCAAAGACACCCTGGTCGAGGGTGCACATCGATCTAGCCGGCCCCTTTCATGGCCGGACCTTTATGGTAGTGGTGGACGCCTATTCCAAATGGTTGGAGGTGGCCCTGATTCCCTCCACCACTACCGAGGCCGTCATCCGGGTGCTGCGAGGCCTGTTTGCGACACATGGGTGTCCTGATGTCCTTGTCTCCGACAACGGACCGCAGTTCACGTCAGGCACTTTTGAGCGGTATCTTTTGGGACTGGGCATCCACCATGCCCTAACGGCACCATTTCATCCATCCAGCAACGGGCAAGCGGAGAGAATGGTGTGCTCGGCAAAAGAGACACTGGCGCGCCTGGACCGGGGAGACTGGCACGAGCGGGTCACCGAATACTTGTTTGTGCAACACATCACCCCTCAGGCGGCCACAGGGCGGAGTCCTGCTGAACTGCTTGGGCCGCCGCCTCAGGTCACCGCTCGACAGGCTGCACCCGGACATTGCCGTGGCCGAACCCCCAGGCTGTGCCAACGCGCCACGGTCATTTGTTCCAGGAAACCAGGTCTTTGCCCGGAACTTTGTGGGGGACGTTCCTTGGGTGCCAGCCACAGTAGTGGGAGTCACTGGGCCTCGCTCGTACCAGGTGGCACTCGAAGACGGACGCTTGTGGCGCCGGCACATAGACCAGCTTAGGCGCAGGGTTGGGGACTTGGACACTACTGTGGTGCCCCCAACTGCGCTCGTGGCTCCGGAAGAGACACTTACAGATGGCGAGGCTCCACCTACACCTCCCTCGCAAACTGCCAGCGTGGAGCCGAACCAAGCCGCTTCAGAGGGTCTGCCAGACTTACCACAGGCTCAGACCACTCCACTTGCGGAAGCTCCACCCACAGCAGCGGATCCAGGGGATTTGGTTTCAACGCCCTCTAGGGTCGCACCACAGCCTCAGCAAGAATTGGGTGGCCCCCCGGACTTGGCTACCAGTCCCCGGCGGTCTGACAGAGTTTCCAAGCGCCCAACTTATTTAAAGGACTATGTTGCTGGACATTTATCACTGTTGGTCTAAGTATGGGAAATGTAACCGATATGCTTTTGTGCCTAATTGAACCATTACGTGTAGTGCTGTATATAAGGAAACCATTACGATTGTAACTAACGCCTTATCTCGGTGGGGAGGGGTGTTATGTACTGAAGTTCTCACCCTGGGCCAGCAGGGGGATACTGTAGATAGTTATGCAAATGAAGGATCGAAAAGTGATGTTCAGTGATTGGATAGTTTTGTATGCAAATGAAGGATCGAAAAGTGACGTTCAGTGATTGGATAGTTTTAGAAAATGGCAACAGTTGCATTGTTCTGGAGCTCTATATAAGCAGGCTGACTGAGCTCCTCAGCCTAGTTCTGTTCTGGCATCTGAATAAAGAAGAGCTGTTTAAAGAATCGCTGTGTCGTCTGACATGTTCGCCCACAACTTAACACATACCCCGTCCAGCCCAGCTCCCTCAATTTTTTATGGGGGGGGGCTGGAGGGAGCTCAGCCCCTAGGAGTTGGCTCTGATGGCTGGCTGTTTTTAATTGTTTCAGAGCAGGGGTCAGCAAACTTTTCCAGCAGGGGCCACTGTTCCCCGGACTATATTTTGGAGGGGGAATGAAAGAATTCCTATGTCCCACAAATAACCTAGATTGAGATGGCGATTGGGCCGCATCCGGCCCCCCGGGCCTTAGGTTGCCTACTCATGTTTTAGAATATCACACACAGATTCAGAGCTGCAGATTTTGCCCCATCCGTTCCAGCTATCTGGAAGGCAATAAGAAGGAAGAGGCCGGAAAGAGGAACTGCTGTGCTTTTTTTCTCGTTTTCTAAACTTTTATTAGGAATCTGATAGTACAGAAGCGTCAGCAGCAGGCTGGGAAAGCCCCAAAGGCACATCTTTCTGAAAGTACAAGGGATCCAAAAAGTCACCAAGATTGTTGGGGTCCAAAAGTCACCAAGATTGCGGCTCAGTGGGGCGACCGTCAGCACGGAGGGGGGAGATTGGGGAAACAGTTAAAGGCGAGGAGTAGGTGGGAGGCAGGCAGATCTGAGCCGCCATGGGACCGATCCACCAGGACGTTCTCCTGCCCAACTCAATGATTTCAATCTGCAATGCAAAAGATTTCCCAAGTCTGTTTTGATGGATGACAGCATAAAAGACTTATCATCTATACATGCATTTGTCCTGGAAGACAACACTTCGCACTTGGCAGTTTAAATTTTTTGCCAGGAAAGTTTGTAATAATTTTAAAAAATTAAGAATAATGTAAATGAGGTCCGGGCAGGAGAGCTTTCCGGTGGGCTCAATCTCTGCAGGCCTCTTTCGAGATATAGCTTGCGCTCTATTTTCTATTGCAAATCGATCAGACTGCTTTCAAAGCAATTAATGCCAGTGAGTAACCAACTACACATCGCAGCCCTAAATTATAGAGAGAGGTGGGGTGGGGGGGAATTACAGAGAAGGAAAAACTGCTCTGGGAATTTCCTGTGGGCAAACTATTTGATGGAAAGCGAGAGCACATTGCAAGGCAGCCTAATTGCCGAAATCGCAAGCAAATCATTTTGCAAAGCAGGGGGGCTTGAGGAGCGCAAGGCAGTAAAAGGCAGGAGGAACAGGAGCTGACGTTTGAAGGGCCCACGGTTTGCTCACAGATGATGCAAAGCAAGCTCCCAAATGCTCCATCCCCGTGGGATGTGACAAAAACATATGGAGCGCAGGTGTGGCCAGTCTGACGGTATCTGCAACCCAAAGCAATATCTTCAAGGGCAGAAGTGAGGCTACGAAACAGAGTAAAACCAGGTCAGGCTATTTTTTTGTCTAGGGATGGTGGGCAAATCTGTCCGTCTGGGTTCATTTCTTCCTTTCTTTAATTTCTGATTTTTATTGGCATTATAAACAACCCCAAAGTGATGTAGCCGGGTATTGCTTATGGAAAGCAAATAAGCAATAAAAAGCAGAGACATCACCTTGCCAACAAAGGTCCGTATAATTAAAGCTCTGGTTTTCCCGGTAGTGATGTATGGAAGTGAGAGCTGGACCATAAAGAAGGCTGATCGCCGAAGAATGGATGCTTTTGAATTATGGTGCTGGAGGAGACTCTTGAGAGTCCCATGGACTGCAAGAAGATCAAACCTATCCATTCTGAAGGAAATCAGCCCTGAGTGCTCACTGGAAGGACAGATCCTGAAGCTGAGGCTCCAAGACTTTGGCCTCCTCATGAGAAGAGAAGACTCCCTGGAAAAGACCCTGGTGTTGGGAAAGATGGAGGGCACAAGGAGAAGGGGATGACAGAGGACGAGATGGTGGGACAGTGTTCTCCATGCTACCAGCATAAGTCTGACCAAACTGCGGGAGGCAGTGGAAGACAGGAGTGCCTGGCGTGCTCTGGTCCAGGGGGTCACGAAGAGTTGGACACGACTAAACAACTAAACAACAAGAACAATAGAAATGGTGATGTACTGATATCAACAGAGCCATCTTTATTTCCTAAGGAGGCATGGATGGTGGATGTTGAGCATCTGAGTCTGAAAACATAGGAAATAAAATGCCGTCAGATAGCACAGAAATATTCTGGATCCTCCACCCGCCTGGAAACGTGCCGTTCATGCGTATTCCCTGCCCCCCAACAATAGCCAAAGACCCTAAGTTCTTACGCCACACTTAAGTTCTTTACCATAGCTGGGGCCTCGAAATCCTGGCAGCAGCTAACACAAAAGCTCTTTTGGGTGACAAGCCTTCATGTTCTTCGTTCACATACTGAGTGATGGCAGTTGTGGGGGAGCCTGAACAACTGGATTTAATTATTTTAGAGATTTCTCGGAACTTGTGACCAGAACAATGAAATGCAAGGGCATTCCCATAAAAGTTTCTCATTTTTCCAGGCATGTTCAGCGCTCTCTCTCTCTCCCTAATATTCATGAAAATTAATTAGCATTTTAGTGTGAACGTCTAATATATATGTTTCTCTATGCAATTTTCCTAATATTTTTGCAAAGCAATCTCCCTAATATGATTGATGCTTGTATGTATGTTCTTTTACTAATAAATGCATTTTTGGTCCTACTTCATTCTAGTGCATGCATTTTTAAAAAATACAAATCTGCGTTACAAAAAAAAAGAAGTGCAAGTTTCGAAGGACGGTTCATAGGCTGCAAATGCGAATCAATGCAAACCAAATCTTTTTCTTCTTCTTCAAGCCTAATTGGGTTGTCAGAGGCTTTCTAAGGAAACGCGTCTCCCCCATCACCACAACCCTTTTAAAACCGGAGTCGCGGGGGGGGGCAGGTTCAACTTGGGGTTGAACCAGCATGCATTTGAAACAGGTGTTCCGCCACTGAAAGGAGCAAACTAGATGCTTCCTTATCCTGGATCTCCAGCAGAACTACCGTACTTTCCGTCTATAAGACCTGTGCACGTTGTAGACATATGACTGTATTTCATCTGATCCATCCACTGTAATTATTTAGTTTGCAGATGATACCACCATTTGTTGTTGTTTAGTCGTTTAGTCGTGTCCGACTCTTCGTGACCCCATGAACCAGAGCACGCCAGGCATTCTTGTCTTCCACTGCCTCCCGCAGTTTGGTCAGACTCATGTTTGTCACTTCAAGAACACTATCCAACCATCTCGTCCTCTGTCGTCCCCTTCTCCTTGTGCCCTCCATCTTTCCCAGCATCAGGGTCTTTTCCAGGGAGTCTTCTCTTCTCATGAGGTGGCCAAAGTCTTGGAGCCTCAGCTTCAGGATCTGTCCTTCCAGTGAGCACTCAGGGCTGATTTCCTTCAGAATGGAGAGGTTTGATCTTCTTGCAGTCCATGGGACTCTCAAGAGTCTCCTCCAGCACCAGAATTCAAAAGCATCCATTCTTCGGCGATCAGCCTTCTTTATGGTCCAGCTCTCACTTCCATACATCACTCCTGGGAAAACCATGGCTTTAACTATACGGACCTTTGTTGGCAAGGTGATGTCTCTGCTTTTTAAGATGCTGTCTAGGTTTGTCACTGCTTTTCTCCCAAGAAGCAGGCGTCTTTTAATTTCGTGGCTGCTGTCACCATCTGCAGTGATCATTGAGCCCAAGAAAGTCAAATCTCTCACTGCCTCCATTTCTTCCCCTTCTATTTGCCAGGAGGTGATGGGCCCAGTGGCCATGATCTTCGTTTTTTTGATGTTGAGCTTCAGACCATATTTTGCCTCTCCTCTTTCACCCTCATTAAAAGAGGAGAGCGCAAAATATGGTCTGAAGCTCAACATCAAAAAAAACCCACCATAATGGGCCTAATTGCAGGTGGAGATCAAACAGCATACAAGGGGGAGGTTCAAAAAGTATCTACATGGTGCTTAGAGAATAACTTGCACCTAAATATTAGTAAGACAAAGGAGATGGTGTTGGATTTCTGGAGGAAGAGAGGGGAACCTGTGCCGTTGTATATTGGGGAGGCTGTGTGGAGGGAGTCTCCTCCTTTAAATAAAAAAAAAAAATCAAAGATAGACAGTCTGAATGATTTTTGCCCTGTGGCGTTGGCACCCATTATAATGAAATGTTTCGAAAAACTGGTGAGGAACCGCATCATATCTTGTCTGCCAGTGGGACTTGACCCTTACCAGTTTGCGTACAAGGCAGAGATCCATGGAGGATGCTGTGGCAATGGCTTTACATGCTGTCCTGACTCATTTGGAGAAGCAAGGGAACTATGTGAGACTGTTATTTGTAGACTTTAGTTCTGCATTTAATACTATTCTTCCACATAGATTGGTGCCCAAACTATTAGACCTGGGACTTCCACCATGTTTGTGCAGGTGGATATTTGATTTTCTATCAAACCATTCCCAACAGGTCAGGATGGGTTCCCACGTCTCTGCGGATCTCATCATGAATATGGGGTGCGTGCTGAGCCCGCTTTTATATATGCTCTATACAGCTGGCTGTGCCCCCAAATACCCCAGTAATAAGATCATTAAGTTTGCAGATGATACAACGGTTGTTGGTTTAATCATGGCTGGAAAGGGAGAGGCAGCCTATAGGAAGGAAGCTGAGCAGTTGGGGGAGTGGTGCAGGAAAAACAACTTACTCCTTAAAGAAAACAAAAGAGATTATTGTGGACTTTAGGAAATGTAAATTGAATATTCAGCCACTCATTATTGAGGGGAAGTGCGTGGAACAGGTCTCGGTGTTTCGATTTCTGGGCATGGAGTTGAAAGACGACCTAACCTGGGGAGAAAACAGCAAAGACCTGATGAAGAGAGCACAGAAGAGATTATATTTTCTGAGAAACTTCCAGAAAAATAATCTCTCAAAGGACCTGTTGATGGCATTTTACCATTGTACTGTTGAGAGTGTATTAACTTACAGTCTCTGTGTGTGGTTTTGGAGCTGCACAGTCAGGGAAAAACAATGCTGTCCAGGGTTGTAAAGACTGCGAAGAGAATAATTGGGTGCACTCTTCCCACCTTGCATCAAATCTACGCTTCCAGGAGCCATAAGAAAGCTGCAGAGATAGCGCAGGATAGTGCGCACCCCGGAAATGATCTCTTTCAGCTTCTGCCTTCTGGAAGAAGGTACAGGGTTATAAAGACTAGGACTAGCCGCCTGAGAAACAGTTTTTATCCAAATGCGATTTTGGTTTTAAACGCAGTGTAAGGTAGTCTCTATGGGAGTATATTGTATTTATTTATGGGGTATCAGAGTTTTTAGGGGGCTAAACAGGCTGGGATAGCAGGCTTGTTGGGTTTTGAATGTCTGATGTAGATTTTTTCAATTTTGTTGTTCTGTATGGGACAATGACAATAAAGATTATTGTACTGTATCAAAAATAACTTTGCGAAATTGACTTGCGAGGTGGTGTGTTGTTCAATAAGAGATTGAGTGTTTGGGGAGGGAGGGAGGCTCATTTAATTTCATTGTACACAGGTTGTACAATGACAATGAAGCTATTATTATTATTATTATTACCAGGAGCCCTCTAAAACAGCAGGGCAACATGTGCTCAGCTGAGCAGGACTCCATTCCTGCAACAATCCCTCCCAAACATAAATACGCATTTATAAAGCTCACGGGAAGCAAATTGATGGATGTTTGGTCCTTCTTTCAAGAACTCTCAAATCCTTGCCTTGGGTTTCTTTTGAAAAAATATTATTACTAACCCCTGTTTTCAACAGAGACGGAATCACTGCAAAGAACTTTTCCTGCACCTGGGAGTTCCACTTGGAAGAGAGGAGCAAAAAAGGGGGGAGTCCAGGGTGTGTGTGTGTGTGTGTCCATCGTTGAGTCACATCAAGAGCAGATTTTTGTCTTGCTAGTTTTTGCTTGGAGTTGACTCAGCGCAAGCCTTCCTCGAGGAAAGAGACTTGCCGGTTCCCGCAGTCTTCTCTTCCGTGAAGAAGCCTCGCCGCATGGTGGCCGCCAAATATTTGAAGAGGCTCTGGGGGGGAAGGGGGAAGAGAGAGGCAAACGTTTACTGGGTGAATCCTGCCCTCCAAAAGGGGGAGGGATGGGGGGCATGGAGGGCTATGGCAGAACCAGGGGGTGAAACGGTAGGACAGACCACATTCCAAAAACACAGACGCAACACCCGACCGACCCTTGCCATTTTTACGTCAATCTGAAATTTGCTATGGCCTAAGTCAGATAAGGAGGACGCGGGTGGCGCTGCGGGTTAAACCACAGAGCCTAGGGCTTGCCATTCAGAGTCAGCCCAGAGTCAGCCACGACTGGACCTAATGGTCCGGGGTCCCTTTACCTTTACGTCAGATAAACAACAGGTGCTAGATTCAGAAAGAAAACCCACATGGAATGATTAAAAAAAGACACACCACATTCTTGTTTTAAGAGAAAACAAGAATAGGATATTTCTATGGAGCGGAAATCTAATTAAGGGCCCATGAAATCAAACTTGATCATTCTTGTCCAACGGTTTGTCGGAAGGTACCCAAAATAGGTGCCTCCCCATTGATTGGAAATAGCACATTGGACAGCTAAGCTCAGTCGCACACAGGTTTAATCGGGGAAAACGGCTTAATCGGGGATAAGAGGACCAGAGGGAGGGGCGGGGGGGGGAGGAATAACATAGTTCTGTCCCATGCTGCTTTCATGCATTAAGAAAATAAATGCCCAAAACTGTTTCGTCTCATGCTCCTTGTGTGGGGGTGTTTATTTATTTATTTCAGAAATACCCCCCCCCAAAAAAATGGTTTGTCAATTTGTACCAAAAAAAGAAAACACTGTTGCTGTAGGTAGGTTTTATTTTATTTGTTTTTTATATTTTGGAAATGTACATCCAGGTGTTTTCCCTTTACATTTTTTGCCGCCCCCCCCAAAGAGTGGGGCCCTAAGCTAGAGCTTTTTTAGCTTTTACGTAAACCCGGCCCTGGGAGTGACGGACTTAGTTCTGCTCATTTCGTTGGGTCTGCTCCGAGTGGAACTTAACTGGAGTCAACCCTGCAAGTTTCTCTTACCTGCCAAGCCTTCTCGACCTCTGGAGTCCAGTGTTCCTTTAGAATGGGCTGGACAGCTTGGATGAACTGAGTGCCTACGTACTGGGGGAGAAATCCAGAGACGGGAGGGTTATTTGGGGAGGTGAAAAGAGAGAGGAAGAAGAGAAGGCAGGGTGTGTTCCCTACCCAGCCCCATCTTTTGATTCTGGAAACGAGGAGCAGGGAAGAACCATCCAGCTCTGGCAAAATCTGGGGGTCTTTAATTCTCTTTTTCTTGGATGGTTTGGAAGCACAGTGCATAGAAATGGGTGAATCTGTCGTTTACCTTCCCGCCAGAGTGGTACCTATTTATCTACTTGCACTGGTGTGCTTTTGAACTGCTAGGTTGGCAGGAGCAGGGACCGAGCAATGGGAGCTCACCCCGTCACGGGGATTAGAACCGCCGACCTTCTGATCGGCAAGCCCTAGGCTCTGTGGTTTAACCCACAGCGCCACCCGCGTCCCAGTAGCTGGATAGGCGTGTCTAAATGAAAATGTTTTTAGCAGCCACGGGAAAGCGTACAGGGAAGGCACCTGCCTGATATCAATGTGCAGGGAGTTCCACAGATGCCATCACACTGAAAGAACGATTTCTTCCAAATGTGGACCAGGTATTACCTGGCACCTGTAGCAATGCCAGTTCTGACTGAGGTGAAGTATCAATCAAGGATTTCCTGGCTGCTGCTTCCGGATCTAACAAATTCCTCTCCCGTTTTCCCCACGAACTATGTTGATCTGTGGGGCCGCAGAGGGGGCTGCCTGCCCCTGCCTTCCTCACCTCATAGTACTTGGGGGGTGCCTTGTACCGGAAGTGATTCCTGCCCAGCTCAAAGGCCAACTGCTCCAGTTTGTCCTCTTGGTCGAGCCGTGCCACGCTCTTCTCAATGAACGACATCACTCTGGCGACGGAAAGAGGACATGGAAGAGACAGAGAAGGAAGCTTGGCGTCAGAACAGCCACAGGTGGGAGCCCACAACGCGCATTCAGATACATGCTGTCTCTATGGGATGTAACAGAAACAATCTAGTACATTTCCTGTTTGCCCAGAGTGGACATGCAGGGGAGATGTTGGTCCAGCCAGGACGACTTCCTGTCACACCTGGTCTGGAGCATCCTCAGGTAGAATGAAGCAATGATTCTTCAACATCATGGGTAGGCAAACTAAGGCCTGGGGGCTGGATCCAGCCAAATCGCCTTCTAAATCTGGCCAGCGGACGGTCCAGGAATCAGCATGTTTTTACATGAGTAGAATGTGTGCTTTTATTTATAATACATCTCTGGGTTATTTGTGGGGCATAGGAATTCATTAATTCTCCCCCCCAAAAAATATAGTCCAGCCCCCCACAAGTTCTGAGGGACAGTAGACTGAAAAAAGTTTGCTGACTCCTGTTCAACATCAACTTCGTTGGACTGGTCATGTTGTGCGGATGCCTGCTGATCGTCTTCCAAAGCAGCTACTCTATTCCAAACTTAAAAATGGAAAGCGTAATGATGGTGGTCAACAAAAGAGGTTCAAAGACTGTCTCAAAGCAAATCTAAAAAATGTAGTATAAACACTGACAATGGGGAAACACTGGCCTGCGAGCGCTCCAGTTGGAGAACAGCCTTTACCAAAGGTGTCTTGGGTTTTGAAGGCACTTAAACTCAGGACGCAAGGGAGAAACGTGCTAAGAGGAAGTGGAAGGATGTGTGGGAGGACGTGTGGATCCAGAATTGGCCTCCACAGTCACTTACGGACTCATTGTTAAAACTGTGTTTATGGAAGACAATCTTAGTTGGCTACGAGGGATCGCCGAAGAAGAAGAAGAAGAGGAGGAGGAGGAGGAAGAAGAAGAGGAAGAGATGGGTGTGACCCTGGAAGACCCCGTAAAAGGGCTGGTCACGCAGCCATCTTCCCTTCTTCTTCTTCGCTTTATTCTATCCTGATGCCTTTTGCTGTCTGCTGGTACTCAGCCAGCAACACATGGGCTCAATCATCAATAGGATGAACCCACACTCTCTTCTGTAACTACAAGCTTAAGCCTGCCTTCAGGATCACACTGTGGACTGAATGTGAGCAAACCTCTTATTACTTTTAAGAGAAGACTGGTGTGTCTTTCTTCTTTTGAAGGGGGAACAAACGGGATTTACCAGGAACTAATCCAATCTGGACAAGCCAGACTGGATTGCTTAAGTCAAGAGATTGTAATGAATTTACCAACTAGTCCATGGGGTCACGAAGAGTCGGACACGACTAAACAACTAAACAACAACAACAAAGTTTATTGTGCAACAGGTTCAAAGAGGAATTTTGAAACCTGAGGATGGGGTGACAAAGACATTTAAAACTTTCCCACCATATCCCAGAATACAGTTCGTACAGCATCATTGCTACATCTCTGATATGTCACAAACGGGGAGGGGTAGACAGGGGTTACACTAGTTTCACCTTGGCAAACATGTCCAGACAAGTCCTTGGTACAAGATTAGCATAAGGGCAAGATCCAGGTATAAGATTAGCATAGGCAAACACCTCTGAAGTCCCACTGCCCAAAGTACAAGAGAACTTCCTCTGTCTGGCTCCTTGGCAAGTGAAATATACTTGGAGTCGAGAGCGGATTTCGTGCTCTTTATTCAGCTCATGGTGGTGAGGAGGAATGGAAGTTCCCTCAGAATGTCTGCTTTATATACATTATTTACACAATGGGCCCCACGTGATTGGCTAATTCCGGGATTCTCCTGTAGGCCAATCAGGTTGCGGATTCCCTTCCACCTGGAGCTGGATTGGGTGGCTCCTGCGGACCAATCATACTGCTGCATTGTTCTAGGACCAATCAGACTGCTGCATTCTGGATCCTATTCAACTCAGTACTTAACAGCAAGTTTGGTGATGGGATCAGGCTTTCCTTGGCCAACAATCAGCTCAGCAATTGTCACCTCTGGCAACTTCCTGGAGTCCTTTTTCAAGGGGAAAATAGCTTTGGAATGGAGGAAACTGGCAAAGGAGTTGATTTTATATGATTTTTAAAGCTAGGTAACTTCCCTGAGCTGTCAAGTTGAAAGGATACATTCAGGCATAATATTTGTAACATTTAACAACTTTAAAGATGTGCCCCCCCTCGTAATTCCCATAACACCTACAAGGTGCTACATGAAGTTCTTCTATTATTATTATTATTATTATTATTATTATTATTATTATTATTATTATCATCATCTGTCCTGAATCTTCCGATTTTCAGCTTCAGACCCAGAGAAGAGGGGCTGTTTTTGGCGCTACCCACCTGAGGCCGTGGGCTTGCAGTTCCTTGCTCATCTTCAGCTGCTGCAGGTCATCGATGTCCCGGAAGAGGAAGAAAACGTCTTTGCACTCGGGGTGGGTCTCAAACAGTCTGCAGAAGGAGTAAGAGGAGAAGCTTTAGTTCTCTGGGTTATCCAGAGGGAAGGCTTTCCTCACCGTAAGGCTCGCCCACCGATGCCACACTCCGACCACCAGGGCCGGATTTGGATGGACTAGAAAAAAATGGAAGAGGGTTATAAACAAAACCGAGTGAAGGCAAGGATGATGACGGGGATTTAAAATCCTGCAATTCACAATTTCTCCTCTAGAGGACGTAAGATGTTATTGTTGTAATACCGTGGTGGTTTTTAAAAATGCACAAAAGTTAAGATTAACACTGAAAAACTTTTGCAATAACCGAACTTTTTTTAAATTTTTTTTAAGAATAGCGCTGCAACTTCATTTTCCTAAAAAGTAATGCTTATTCCACGAAAGGTTTACAAAGTTTGGTTATTGCAAAAGTTTTTCAGTGTTAAAAAATGCACAAAAGTTAAGATTAACACTGAAAAACTTTTGCAATAACCAAACTTTGTAAACCTTTCGTGGAATAAGCATTACTTATCCCATTCTTCGGCGATCAGCCTTCTTTGTGGTCCAGCTCTCACTTCCATACATCAGTACTGGGAAAACCAGAGCTTGAACTATACGGACCTTTGTTGGCAAGGTGATGTCTCTGCTTTTTAAGATGCTTTAAATACGGCCAACTCCAATCCACACAGAAATACGTGCTCCCAGGAGAGGGTGGTGTTGGATAGCTGATTCCGAGCTCTTTGAAGCTGATCTTTGTTCCTGCCACAAAGTCCTGCTTTGGGGAAATTAACAGGAAATGTCTAATGCGTTGCAGCTGGAATCGGTTCTGGGGAAATATGCAAATAATCCATTTGTTTTAAGAAGCCAAGAAGAGTTAAGTGGGATCGCCACAGTTCTTTTTTTTAAACTCAGCATCCTGACATGAGCCACCCAGATGTATACTTGGGAAACCTACAGGCAGGAGATGATGCTCTGATGTGTGGAGGCTGCTAGCCATAGTTTCCCAGTGTGGATGTAACAGGAGAGAGAGGGATGGAGCTCCCCCAATGGTGTTCAGTGTGGGATGTGATCCATGAGAAGCAGTCAAGTATAACATTCCTTGTTTTCCTAGAGTGGACATGCAAAGGGATGTTTGGTCCAGCCAGTCAAAACTTCCTGTTCCTCCTGGCTGGAGCATCCTTCCTTTTGCATGTGATAGAAGGTGGGCGTGACCTAACCTGTCCAGGTAACAAAAGAACGAGTCACACAGCACACCTCTCTTTTTCACTTCTTTCGTCATTTGATCAGCTTCTAGCTAGGACTGGATTATTCCCCCGATGGGGTAGATCCACATGTACATACAGTAGCACCTCTACTTACGTTCACCTCCGGTTACGTATCCTTTGGGATATGTACGCGACAAACCTGGAACTATTTTTCCAGATTTCGTCGTACATGCATGCACAGAAGTGCTCTACGCATCTCACACATGCGCAGAAGCAGCACCTCTGGTTGTGAATTCCTCGGGATCCGACCGGAGCTCCAGAACGGATCCCGTTCGCAACTGGAGGTACCACTGTATTTGTAACTAAGTCGGCCTTCAGGGATCCAACTGTGAACTGATGTGAGTAAATTTATTTTATTGACTTTGAATAAGATGGTGGCGTCTTTATTCTTTTAAGAAGGATTAAAGGGAATTTACCAGGAACGTACAATTCAATCTGAGACAGACTGAATTGTATAATACAGTGGTACCTCGGGTTAAGAACTTAATTCGTTCTGGAGGTCCGTTCTTAACCTGAAACTGTTCTTAACCTGAAGCACCACTTTAGCTAATGGGGCCTCCTGCTGCCGTGCCGCCGCTGCGTGCTTTCTGTTCTCATCCTGAAGCAAAGTTCTTAACCCGAGGTACTATTTCTGGGTTAGCGGAGTCTGTAACCTGAAGTGTCTGTAACCCAAGGTACCACTGTAGTGAGAGGCTCACACGAGCCTGCAACCAGCTATCTGCTGTGCTTGTAAAAAGGGGAATGTAAACTCTGCTAATGAATAAGACTGTGGTGTCTTTATTTTTTTAAGAGGGATTCGAGGGAACTTGCCAGGAATGTACAATTCAATCTGAGACAGACTGAATTGTATAATAGTGAGAGGCTCACATGAGCCTGCAACCAGCTATCTGCTGTGCTTGTAAAAAGGGGAATGTAAACTCTGCTAAGAAACTTGCTAGTGCAAGTTAGGAAGGATATTAATAAACAATATATCCCCTCCTGCCACCCTCAACATTCCCACACTCAGTTCCTCCCTTCCAACTGTACCTTTTCCTGCCCACAACTGCTGAGATTGGGGCAGTATGCTTCTTTCTACCGGCCATCCCAGAGACATTAGACCTTTACTTTCCACCCTTGTCTGCAAATGCCAGGTGAGATTTGGGGACGCATCCTGGGCAAGGGTCACAGTCTGTCTACCGCAGCGCCTGGCCTGCAATTCTACATTCTGACTGACAGTGGGGTGGCGCCACCGAGCCAGCAACCAAACAAGGCCAAGCACTGCAAGCAGCCAGAAACACCGCTTCCCTGCAGGCAGGCAGCTATGGCACTGGTGCAGACAACACTCAGGCCGATGTAGGCAGGCTGGGAGAGAAGAGCAGGCAGGGGCCAAGGTGGTGCAAATGAGTCCCTCCCTGCTTACTCCTCTGCAGGTCCGCTTCCCAGGCAAACACAAATTGTATGGGATGGGGAGGTTTTGCTATGTTATTGTTGTTTAGTCCTTTAGTCGTGTCCGCCTCTTCGTGACCCCCTGGACCAGAGCACGCCAGGCCCTCCTGTCTTCCACTGCCTCCCGCAGTTTGGTCAGACTCATGCTGGTCGCTTCGAGAACACTGTCCCACCATCTCATCCTCTGTTGTCCCCTTCTCCTTGTGCCCTCCATCTTTCCGAACATCAGGGTCTTTTCCAGGGAGTCTTCTCTTCTTCTGAGGTGGCCAAAGTCTTGGAGCCTCAGCTTCAGGATCTGTCCTTCCAGTGAGCACTCAGGGCTGATTTCCTTCAGAATGGAGAGGTTGGATCTTCTTGCAGTCCATGGGACTCTCAAGAGTCTCCTCCAGCACCAGAATTCAAAAGCATCCATTCTTCGGCGATCAGCCTTCTTTATGGTCCAGCTCTCACTTCCATACATCACTACTGGGAAAACCAGAGCTTTTACTATACCTTTGTTGGCAAGGTGATGTCTCTACTTTTTAAGATGCTGTCTAGGTTTTGCTATCGGGTTGCCATATTTCAGAAAGTAAAACTGTTGAGCTTTTTTTAAAAGGGGAAACCCCCCAAAAAGCCAAAAAACCATGATTTTCCGGTTGACTTGCCTAAGATCCAGGACAACCAGGTTGCCGGACGTATATCAACCCTATTTTATAATAATTTTAGCATGAGAATTAGTACTTTTTATGACTTTGGTGGTCAACAGAATGGTCTGTCCTCCAGCTTGAAAGAAAGTGCTCTTATATTTTTGTTTTTGGTATTTCTTGAAGGATAGTTACACATTCTTACATATCAGAGATTTACAGCGCAGCTCCATACATGCCTCCTCAGAAGTATGTCCCCTTGATTTCAAAAGATCTCTTCAGCCCTATGAGGAAGATTATTTCTGGTTTCATGGTACTTCATAAACAAGTTCTCACCCAGTATGGTAAATAGCAAAAATATTTCCCTGAGGGATGTATCTGCCTTCCATAATAACGACCAACACACAGGTTAGGTAGAAACGCATTTAGAACCTAAAGCAAAAGAAGTAGGACTGGGAGGAAAATCTTCTCTTAATGTATTTTGCTGTCTGCTGGCCCTCAGCCAGCAGCACATGGGCTCAGTCCCCATACGTATAAGTTAAACAAGCTATAGCTTACCTTCAGTAGCTTAGGGCCTCATCAAACCTCAATCCAGCCCTGCCCATATGGGATGAACTCACACTATGTTCTGTAAGGTAAAGGTAAAGGGACCCCTGACCATTAGGTCCAGTCGTGGCCGACTCTGGGGTTGCGGCGCTCATCTCGCTTTACTGGCCGAGGGAGCCGGCGTACAGCTTCTGGGTCATGTGGCCAGCAGGACTAAGCTGCTTCTGGCGAACCACAGCAGTGCACGGAAACGCTGTTTACCTTCCCGCCAGAGCGGTACCTATTTATCTACTTGCTTTCTACTGTGCTTTTGAACTGCTAGGTTGGCAGGAGCAGGGACCGAGCAACGGGAGCTCACCCCGTCGTGGGGATTCGAACCGCCGACCTTCTGATCGGCAAGTCCTAGGCTCTGTGGTTTAACACACAGAGCCACCCGCGTCCCTTACTATGTTCTGTGACTACTAGCTAAAGCCTGCCTTCAGGGATCATACTGTGAACTGAATGTGAGTAAACTTCTTGTTGCTTTTAAGGAGAGACTCTTGTGTCTTTATTCTTTTAAGGGGGATAAAAGGGGACACCAGGAATAATCCAATCTGCTTAAATAAAGAGATTCAAAGAAATGGAGGCAGTGAGAGATTTTACTTTCTTGGGCTCCATGATCACTGCAGATGGTAACAGCAGCCACGAAATTAAAAGACGCCTGCTTCTTGGGAGAAAAGCAATGACAAACCTAGACAGCATCTTTTTTTAAAAAAATATTTTATTAAGGGCTTTCTTGTTTTACCTAGACAGCATCTTAAAAAGCAGAGACATCACCTTGCCGACCAAGGTCCGTATAGTTCAAGCTATGGTTTTCCCGGTAGTGATGTATGGAAGTGAGAGCTGGATCATCAAGAAGGCTGATCGCTGAAGAATGGATGCTTTTGAATTCTGCTGCTGGAGGAGACTCTTGAGAGTCCCATGGACTGCAAGAAGTTTAAACCTCTCCATTCTGAAGGAAATCAGCCCTGAGTGCTCACTGGAAGGACAGATCCTGAAGCTGAGGCTCCAAGACTTTGGCCACCTCAGGAGAAGAGAAGACTCCCTGGAAAAGACCCTGATGTTGGGAAAGATGGAGGGCACAAGGAGAAGGGGACGGCAGAGGATGAGATGGTTGGACAGTGTTCTCGAAGCTATGAACATGAGTTTGACCAAACTGCGGGAGGCAGTGGAAGACAGGAGTGCCTGGCGTGCTCTGGTCCAGGGGGTCACGAAGAGGCGGACACGACTAAACAACTAAACAACAACAACAACAAAGAGATTCAGACAAATCTGAAAACCAGCTTCCTGCCGTATCGAGGGGGAACTGGTTTGCTACATGACTCACTAGCGTGAGTGAAGGAAGGGTAACATTTAATCAGTATATCCTCTCCTACT